CCACTGGAAGTATTTTTCTGTTATTGTTTTCGAGGCATAAGTCTTAGATCTTGTCTTTAACAAAAAGCCCAAACAGCAACTCAGGAAGCTCCTGCAATGAAGCACGTCATTCTCTTAGAAGTGAGGCCCACCTGAAGAACTCTGTATGTAATACTGTTTAACATATTTGCAAGTTACAACCCCATGCTGGAGTGAGATATGTCTCAAGCTGGTGTGATGTAAGACTTAATCTAGCTTGTTTACCTGCACTTCAATCTTACAATCCTCTGAAACATGTGGCTGTAATCTTGGAAATCTCCAACACCTTCTTCTCTATGAGGCTAATGGCTCTCTGTGGTGCTTTAAATAACATGCAGAATCTATCGTCCACCCACTGAGCCAGGAGTGACAGCATCCCTCTATGTTGATCTACTTTTTCATGCACCTCATGACACAAGATCAACTGGGGGAAAATGCTAGGCTGTGAACTTGGTGTATTGAGTGATTACATAAGCAGCAGGAGCCCAGAGTATTAGCGTGCCAAACCTTTGTATCTTTCCTCATCGGGGGCTTGGGCCTGAACCTTGTCTCTAATTGGATCTGTCAACTCAAAGCCCAATATGTGTGGGAATGGCACGGAAAAAACTGCTGAGCAGCTGGAATCAGCCGTGGAATGGTGGGATAGATATATTGCGCAGGTTTATGTGGCTTAAGAAAAAAAGTATTACGTAACTTACGTAAATACTGGGTATAATAATCCCTAAAGTTGTCAGTGTTAAAATAAGTGTTTCTCCAATGTTTACTGTGTATCCAATGACCATAACCATCTGTTGTTATTATCAGCCCTTAAAGCAGCTTTCTCAGCGCCTTATTATATTACCATATTTCTCTAGAAAATAATTGTTTTATACAAAAACATTTTGACCTGAAATCCATGTAGATATTAGTGGGAAGAGAAATTCCTTTAATATGTCTTTTGTAATTTAAGATACAACAAAACCAAGATATTTTTAAGTCTCAAGTGGCACACGTTTTTACAGCAGAGACAGACTGAGATTTAGAAAACACATAAAGAAATATTTATATGAAATAAAAATAAATAATTAGTGAGGTAGGTAAAAAAAGCCATGCAATGACCATGCCTATAGTGAATTATACTAATGTTTGTTTAAAATATGTTTATTAGTGCAACTCAAGCTTCCATGATTTGCGAACTCTTTATTTAGTTTGAATAATAAATACAATGTACACAATATTATAGTATTGTAATGTTATTCAGTACATGTGTTTAGTATCTTTATTTAGTACAGGGAAAATGCATTACTATATAAAATATAAAAGGATCATCATAGCAAAATAGTTTTGTTAGAGTGATGCAAGTAATATTATACAATGTAAAATAAAATAGAGTTGTGTTTACATGGTATCCCCTAACAACCCAAGTCTATGCATGACGTTTACTGGAGTCATTCTGTGTAACCAAATTACATGTCTGCTGACTTAATTTACAACCTTCGCCTTCAATGCTCCTTACTGGGCCGGACATTAAATAAATCACTTTAAAGATTTCACCTGGCGTTGTCATAAATATCAGAACAGGCTATCAGCAATACTGATTTTCTTGCCTCCACTATTTAACAACTGGTGAATGTGATAATGGTCTCTGCAAGTTGATGAAGCGCACAGCTCATTTAGATAGATAGATAGAACTTTATTGTCCCCCTTAGGAGACATTTGTCTTGGGCATCAATATAGTAAACATAAAACATTTAGGACAATCAGTAATAGATACAGAACAGAGATCACATATCACATGAAGAAACAAACAAGAAACATACAGGTACAGAACTTTCCCTATTGCACATACATAAATCAAATATTGCACTTTCCCTATTGCATTCATACATAATCACATATTGCACTTTTCCCTATTGTATTTATACACAAATCAAATATTGCACTTTCCCTATTGCACCTATGCATAGTGTCCGTCAAATTGCACATATCCCTATTGTGTCCATACCTATTTACACATATTGCACTTTCCCTATTTAACCTTCTCGATTGTACAAACTACACTGTACACATTTCACCTCCCAACAACTCCTAACAGCATAATCACAATTGTTTCTGACTGTTCAGCAGCTTGACTGACAGTGGAATAATGGAAAACTTATACCTGTTTTTTTTACATAGAACACAGTCAAAGCAGAGTCAACAGGACCGGGGAGGCGGCGGCCGTAACAAACACTATTAAACAATGCAGTATTATGCATTATTATAGGCTGCAGAGTGAACCTTGTTGCTCGCTCCACACTGGACTGTACAGTATTTATTTGTTACATTAAGAGGATTCTTTGTGAGACAGACCTCATTATGACACATTTAGTCTAGAAATACAGACTTTGGAGGACCCAGCACTTGAAACGGACATCGCTTATTTATCTCTATTTACCATTAACCGTATCTTGCTTGTTGTACACAGCTTCCATCAGATACTCACTCCACACTGCTAAGAAAGTCCAAACTCCTGACACTAAAATGTTCTAAGCCTTATCTCCCAGTAAATCTTATCTGGCATAACCTCCCTAAAGCTTTGCAGCAGTGACTGGCCCTTTCTTTTGTGGACGTAAAACCTTGAAAAACACATTTCTTTACTTCACATCTAAGACTTAAACTGTATTTACTTTATAATGAGTGCTAGCAATATTCTGTCTGCACCAAACTTTCAAATGGCACTTGCTATTTTGTTGTTTTTGTTGTTTTCAGACTATTTCCAGTTTCTTTCCTCATTTGCTGTCTCATTTCACGTGGCTCACCAGAAAATGTAGTTAGTGAGATCATTAAATGATTCTTTCCAAATTCACAAGTCACATCATTAGATTTGATGTATCATTATGCTTCTTCCTCCTTGTTCTTTTTATTTCCAGTCATCCCTAAATCATCTTCAGCTTTCATGTGTTTCATGTGCTTTGAAATTCCAGTGGGTCTGCCATTTTCCAAAACCCAAAGCCACAAAAAGGGGGGAAACAACCCTCCCCCTTGGCATTGGTATACAGTAAGACCAGAGGCCTTTTCCCGCAGGGTTTGCAACTGCTGGAAATTTAAAGAGCCACACAGTAGTTGACAAATATGACTTCCAGCACTTCTGATTCTGTTAGCATTGGGGTTAATTAAAATCATATTATCAATCATGTCCCTACATTTTCAACAAGATGTGTACTTAAAAGTCAGTGTTGAGTATTGGCACTTATATAAACTTATAAATGATCATGATCGACAACATGTTTGGTTTCACATACATTGTGCTGTAGTTTATTTTGTATCCATTAAAACTGAATTTAGAAAGCATAATGAGAGACGATTGGTATATTACATGTTTACAAAAAAACCCTACTCCTCTTAGTGTCTGTAACGAATCCTCTCATATGGCCATTTTCATTCCTTTACTAAGACATTTCAGCATTAAACTGTATACATTCATGTATAATAGTTTTCATTGACTATTCCTGGTACATCGCCCTCCTTAATTAAGTATTAATGGATTGACCTTCTTTATTTTAGTCCCTAATTCTGCAGCATTGCACTTGGCGACACAGATAGGAAGAAGACATATATCTTCGAGAGAACGGCTGGAATGTAGCACATGGATATTAACATGCACGTCGCACAACATTGCCAGCTACATTTCAACAGCGTTTCCCCCCCCCCATTGTTATGAGGGTAAGAGGTAATCATGGACACCTTTACAATAACCTTACCTTCTGGACAAAAATCATGAGAAACAGAATAACAACAACAATAAGGAATGTTGTTATTCATTTTATCTTCAAATATGGGCTTGGATCCATCAACAAGGTTCTCCCAAAGTGTGTCATTATTGTAGTCTAAGATGCCTTTAGACATGGACGATAAAAAACACATGAAACATGTGTGCCGAGCTCTGTGTCCTCATGAAAAAGCGCATGGCTTTATGTGCCAAAATACTCCTCTTCTCATTCATATTCATTTAGCTCAGAGGGTGTTACCTTGATGGTGTCACACATGCAGGTGCAGTTTACTTTTAAACCAGGGTGGCTTTGAACAGTTTTTAAGTATAGAAACTATGTTTGCGTGTGTTTTTGACGCACTTAAACCTCAGAAATCGTTTTAATTCTGATATTTGCATCTCACCTGTTTTACCTTTAATGTTGCCTTTCAGTTGAAGGTTAGGAATGTGTATGTGTTTATTAAATAGCTGTTCACTTATTAAAAAACGCAGGTCAGATTACATCTTCGAGTATCCAGCAGAAGGTTCAGTCTCATTTGAACCTATTATAGCACACTGAAACTATCTCATAATGACAGCAAAGCTTTTGCACCAAAGGCTTCACTGTGTGGCCACATGCTTTCTCCCAAACATCAGTATGGACAGCTCAATTATTGCACAAAATTAGGTCAGTGAGAGTATGTCGAGGGGTTTATGCAGGGGTTAGGGCTCCGAACTGCAGAGCAGGATGGGAGGACACTTATGAACGCCTCATATCGCTCCCTTGTGGAGGTGATGGGTTTTCTCTCTGTACACTGAGCCGGGGACAGATATAACGGGTTGAGTGCTGAGGTGCTTGCCATTCCGATTCTTACCAGAGAGGATGTTGGAGCTTACAATTTCTGCAGCACTTTTTCTCGTCACATTTTAATTTAAGTGGCATTTTTTGTTTTTAAAGTGAATACTGTGTTTGTATTTCTTCACAGCCTGCTAATTCTTTGGATTTTGCAGAATTACCTACTGTAGTCAATTGTAAACTCTCAGATTTTTTTTACTCTATTATTGCTATCTAGTAAATCCACATTGAAGATTTTCTGAACTTTAAGGTTACTTTTCTTTTGGCAGAGTGTGTGGAATATTTCAGTCTGCAGTTTCTAGAAAGGATGGGAGATTGATTTACAAATCCTTGGTAATCCTTGATGAATATGTGTTAAGACTCATCAAACCTCACCCTGCGTTTTAACACCTGAGGACGCAAGGAAGACTATTCCACTTAAGACCCTCTAAGTGACTGTTTAAGAGTGCAAACCCCTGACGCATCTACAGAGGACAAGACTGCTACAATGGAGAGTATTTCAAATGAAAGTGACTTTTGGCAATTTAACGATTCATGGAGGAACTCAAGTATCGTTAACGGGACCGGTTTGTTGAATAAGACGAACCCTCTGACGCGGGATGAAGAGGTGGCGAAGGTGGAGGTGACTGTGCTCGCCCTGGTGCTGTTTCTGGCGCTGGCGGGGAACCTGTGCGTCCTGCTGGCCATCCACACTACCAAACACAGCCAGTCCCGCATGTATTACTTCATGAAGCACCTGAGCATCGCCGATCTAGTTGTGGCGATATTTCAAGTTCTCCCTCAACTTATCTGGGACATTACATTTCGGTTCTATGGACCGGACGTTTTGTGCAGGTTAGTGAAATACCTACAGGTCGTTGGGATGTTCGCGTCCACTTACATGTTAGTTTTGATGTCCGTCGACAGGTGTTTGGCAATTTGCCAGCCTCTCCGTTCTTTGCACAGGAGAAAAGACCGTTTTTATGTCATTGTTTCCTGGGTCATTAGCTTGATCTTCAGTATCCCGCAGATGTTCATTTTCTCTCTGATCGAGGTTGGCTCGGCTGGATCCGGAGTGTATGACTGCTGGGGCGACTTCGTAAAGCCTTGGGGTGCCAAAGCTTACATCACATGGATCAGCCTCACCATATATATCATCCCGGTGGCAATACTGAGCATTTGCTACGGGTTAATAAGCTTCAAAATATGGCAAAACTTTAAACTGAAAACCAGGCGCGAGCAGTGTATAAGCCTGACGCCCAAATCCTCCAAATGCAACACACTGGCCCGCGTGAGCAGCGTTAAGCTCATCTCCAAGGCGAAGATAACCACCGTGAAATGACTTTTGTGATCGTTTTGGCTTATATCGTCTGCTGGACACCCTTTTTCTCTGTTCAGATGTGGTCTGCGTGGGATCCAGCTGCGCCCCGTGAGGGTAGGTTGATTTTGAGTGTGTGCCATGCTGCGAGTTATTACGCATTTACAATGATTAAAACCCTAACACAGTATTCATATGTTCAAACCTTTTGCACATTTTCCTGGCGATATGGTAATTAATGGATATCCGTGAGGCATATCAATATTGCTGTGCGCAACAGAGCTCTTTACGCACGAGGATACCAACGCTTGCGTATCTATGGAACAAACATAGAACACCAAACCCAATCTTTGAGATGTGTGTATTTTGCTTTACTAATTCATATTAATAAAGCACTATTGTTTAATGGCTGACTCACGGAGAGCCTGGTTCTGCCGTTTTAGTGTCAGGGTAAATAACGCAGCCAGGGTGCGGTGCGGATGGGTGCAGTGCAGGAGGTTTGACACTCAGACAAACCATACAAATAAAATACATTTTGAACTACTTAACATGTCAGAATTTATAGCAAAGGATTTGGATTTTGTTTAAATAAGGCATTTTAAAGTTTGTAAATGTCAGGGTTTTTAATCAAAAACACATCCTTATCCCACAGTTATTATACAGTCCCTGTCCCCTCACCACCAACATTTGAAACAGATCATTAGAACACGGGGTCATTTTACATCAGAAATGCATAGCAGGAGCAACATGTCTTATATGTCATAATCAATTATATTTCTCATGATTAAAAAGAATTGGGTAGGCCCTTTAAAGTGCAAAAATCAGTATGCATTACTTCACGAGTTTCCTTCGACGCTCCTCGACCTGCAGAGACCGACTGAAGGCTAATCATTGATCAAATTATTGTGCGCATACACGCGCCAAAGAGCTCTGTGCCTGCAAGGTACGTTGGAGTGTGTCGTTGACATTTAACCACAATAGGTCACTTAGCAGCCATGTATATGGTCCCTACATTTATCGACAGGCTGGCACATGGCCACACCCATTTAACAAAAGAAGATTTAATATGCCAATAATCACAAGTTATTTGGACTCTGCCTCTTTTCTCCTTCTATATTTCCATTACATTTCAATATGACTAAATAAAAGGCGCCGTTAAAGTAAAAGCCTTGTCAAAGTGTTTCATATTAAATGTGTTTTCATTTGTCTGTATGATCTAAGGGGGTTTCTGGGCAGTACAGCTTTTAATATGAGATGTCTGCATGTCCTCAAAGACATTACAAACCTTGTATTTTCCCAGACAAAATATTTAAAAAGAGAAACATGTTCTACAAATACAGACTTAAATAGGCCTACATGTAGGGAATAGGAAGTTTCAGGATGAGTGAAGAGTAAATAGATGTTTGTGTTTCAGGCCTCTGGTCTTTTCTTTGCCTCTGTGGGTTTGTGTTTAAGACTCCAGCTGAATGGTTCTGTCGCTGTCATCGAGTGGCATTGTTCATTTGAGCTCTTTACACTCTGGGGCTAAACAGTTGCTCTTAGCTGTCACAGTTCTCCAACACTGAGGTAAATTGCTATAAATGGCTTTGTTGCTAAACCTCTCAGTGATATTTACAGTGCTGGAAAAACTAGCAGCAAAGGTGCTCTGTCCCTTGAATGGAAAAGAAAGTGATGAATTCATTTTCTGTTGCAGAGCATGGCTCAGTGCAGGGCGGAGGCTGATGTCTGATGGCTGTCGTCCACGTGAACACTTCTTCAGAAAGGCTAGAATTGGCTGTGACACGTTGCCAGTGTTTGTGTAAAAAAGATAGGCGGCAGTGTCTCCTGTGTGTGTGCAGATTAGGTGAGCCCAGACTGCAAAGCTTTGAATCCCTCGCTAAGGGAAGACCCTACCCTTCAAACGTGTTTCAAACATTCACAAATGTTAAAAGGAAACAGTATGAACAAAATATCAGGTTAAGTAAGATTGTGTTGCTGCAGTAAATTGCCGTTAATGTAGTCATTAAGGTTGTTTGAATGTGTTTTGAATTGTAATGGGGCATCTGGAAACAGTTGTAGTGAAATATTAGCAGCCAGTGAGGAGCGTAAACAGAAAACTCATTGTTAATGTGTAATCTTTGCTAAGTCAACCTGCAGCGATATAGCAAATATTTAAATAGCACCTCAAAGATTATGATAATGCTTAGGTCATTCACTTATAATCCTCCACCATGGAACATATACATAGCATGTTGTTTGCACATTGTGCGAAGCAAAAACATAATTGGATATCTAAAGTTAAATACATTTTCATGGTGCAGAAAAGTACATTATTTCAGCATCTTTGTGAGTTATTGGCAGCATTATACAAATAATTAGAATAGTTTGCTCTGAGATATTCTTAATAAAGACATCTTTTTATTTTCACCATCAAACAAGCTGACATTTCAATATAAGTGCAAAATTGCTTCTTAAAGGTTGCCGTGTGTGTTTGAAAGGCAACAGAAAAAGGATGTGTAGGAGCAGTTTATGTACTTATATGCAGACTACCACACTTTCTCCACACTGTTCCCCATTTACTAAAGTAATCATGTGCTCTGCGATGATTGATTTAGTAAACCCTAAAGTCAACAACACTTTTGTTCAAATGTATAGTTTGACATTTATTAAAATGTGCTTTTTCAGATACTTAGATAAGAAGCTGGCTTGCTCTGTCATAACATATTTCTCCTTAATTGTCCAAGAAACAGTCCAGCACGTAGTTCCACATAAAATGGCAAATACTACATTTTACACCCTAATTCTTGTACATATAAACACATATTGTAAATGCTTTTATTAGTAAAATATTTGTTTACCTTTGCACAAGGCCTAGATAGCTTTTCCCCAGCTACGCTAAATGATTTCTTGTGGTAGCTTCATTTTTACTTTACAGATGTCACAGTGGCATCTTGTATATCATCTAATTTGTACTACTTTAGCCACAATTTGATCAGCTTTGTAGCACACACAAGTTTGAAACTCATACAATTTCCCATTGAGCCAATAAGTGCATGTTTTAATTAAATGATTGAACAAAGAGCCAAATTGCTTTGTCAAAGTTCCAACAAAACTTCTGTTTTACTGTGAAAGAGCCAGTACTGTCACAGAAGGGACATTTCCATTTTTAGCAACCCACTCATCAATATGATTTTTGGAAATGTCATTGTCCCATCCTTCCAATCTTTTTGACGTCAGTAGCGCCTGTTATTTTACATTGACCGACAGATTACCTCGAGGACAAAAACACGTGAAGGTTTTGCTCTGACTCAGACACGAACACAACCTCCCAAAAATGGTATCGACGTGAACATCTACCCCCCGCTGAGCTTGTTGCCCTCGGGTGCTGACTCAGACTCACGTATTGATCTGTGTTAAGTACTTAGTGGACACAAAGCCCAGTGTTCAATGTCGTGTAAATGTCAGTTTGTATACACAGTTTTGTCTTTACTAGCAGCAAGAAAAGCAAGGCAGGGTCTTAGGTACATAAAGCCCTCTGAAAGCAATTTTACTCATAAATATCACTTGATGTTTGAATGGAAATGTGATTACTGCACTGCATTTACCATCAGGGAACAAGAATTACCACTAAGTGTCCTTGTTAATGACTTGCCAAAGTGTCTTTAGGGGCTGCCCAGTATCAGCTCTGACATCAAGACAGATGTACCACCCAGGGGAGGATCATTCTGCCTTTTCACTTGCTGTGCGAATCATCGCTCTTGTGAAAGACACAGAATTAATTCACTAAAGTCTTTGTCTCGATAGTTCTTTCTATTATTCAAATTGGATCCCTGCTCTGCTCTCATCCACCCCGATAAGAAGTCTTGATAATCAGCAGTTGGTCTTTCACGCCATCTCCAATGAAGCATGGTTCCTCCTCTCTCTCAGCAGCATAGTCTGTAATAGAGCAGGTTAACCCATGGTTACATATGTCTAATAGCAGCTGGTGAAACACCTTTTTTAGCTTGCCATTTTGTAGAATGTTTCATTCATTTGGATTTTATTGCTGAGGTTAAAATATATGTTTAGTATCTAATACATTTTACTGCATTTTCATACATCCAATATATTTAGCACAGTGTCTACCCAAAGTTTTTTTTTTTAAACCCATGACAAAATAGCTGAAGGGTATTTATATCATCTGCACTGAGTTAAACTCGTGTTTTAGTCTCATAAATCCATCCCCTAATGGCTGATGATAAATTCTTGTTAATCATGCGTGTGACTTTCGTGCCCTTACAGAGATAATTTACAGTGACATTTTGTTGGAGCTCAGGGACAGTAAACCGTTGTCTTTAGCGACAACATGAGAATAGCAGGAGCACAGATGGATTAACGATCAGTAATAAGAGGCTAAATACAGGATATGAGCCGAATACATGGATGTGGTGTGATCAACATTTCCGTCTCTCTAACCTTGAAAGTGTTTTTACAGGAATTTGCTTTGTTTTAGAAATGCATTGCTTTCTGGCTTGATTGAACATATTTCCATTGACATCATCTTGTGTTTATTTCTCACGCTTAAGCTGAAAGTATTATGACACTCCTATGCCTTCTCAATTTCTGATTCCAAAGACTGAGAACTGGTTTTACATTGGCAGATTACGGTATTCATGTTAGCATGAACTAATGTCAGCCAGCTAAAATGCTGGGCAACATGTGACCTGACATTTTTTCGAGATTAAAAGCAGTACATTAGTTCAAACCTGACCACTCAATAGTTGTCAAGGCTCAGGTGAATGCCACCGTTATTGAAATTCAATCCCTGGGGACCATGGGTTTATGTTTCAAAACAATTCACATAGCAGTTAATATATTGCAATCTGGAAAATAGTATTACACTGATCAACCAACAATGCCTTCTCTACAGCCATGGATCAAAAAGCATCACAAGTTAAACTCAATGCTAGCTACACCTTTTTTTTCACAGAGTAAATTAAATTGCAGGGTTTTTTGTTTTGTCAGTAACTTGTCTCTCCCTAATCTTCTGCAGCCATGCCCTTCATCATCTCCATGCTTCTGGCCAGCCTCAACAGCTGCTGTAACCCCTGGATCTACATGTGCTTCGCCGGGCATCTGTTCCAGGATCTCAGGCAGAACTTCCTGTGCTGTTCCACACGCTACCTCAAGTCCTCCCAGCGTGACTTTGACTGCAGTCACAAGAGCAACTCCTCCACCTTTGTAATTAAGAGCACCAGCAGCCAGAGGAGCATCACACAGACATCCTCCACATAAGCCTGTCTTCCCTTCTCTCTCAAGCCTTCCTCTCAAACACCTGCGTCATATCTAGCAGTTCAACTCCTGAAGGAATTAATTGTTGTATTAACAGTACTTCACAGTGTGAAGTGGAATTGTGAGATAGAAATATCTACAGAAATTGAGTAATGGTGTGGTATTTCTTGTTCATAAAGACGTATAAGATAATCACAGACCAAGAAGAGCAATCACTTGACTTTTGTTTTTATATTATTATTGTTTGAGATGTACAGTATATATGTGTACAGTGAAGAGAAAGTAAAGGCAACGAGAATATTTTTTAAGCACTGTAAACATTATTGATTCAGTTGCAAAGCTTGTGGATCCTGCTGTCTGTGTTATGATGAAATTGACTATCTATTCTAAATATTGTGAACTACTTTGTAACATTTACAGTGGATTGCATACATCTATGCTTACTTACTGTACTTGATATGTTGTTAGATGTGAAATGTCATGTCTTTCCCTGGTAAAAATAAAATAAAAACCACTTAGAAAAATAAATAAAGAGCAAAAGCAGCACACATTTTAGCTTTTAGGAGCACCTACTGCCTCTTGAAAGCCTTGGCAATGTTGCTGGAAATGTACTAGAGGGATGTTTGTTGACACAGAATCAATAACGTCACTGAGTTCCTGCACAGTTTTGGCAGCACATTGAAACTTCCTGTTTAGCTTCAGCTCAAAATGCATTATTGGGTTGAGATCAGGAGCACGTGGACACCAGAGGCCTGTACTACGAAGCTGGTTCAACCTAACCTGGATATGTTTGAGTTAGCCGGTTGGCCTAATCCAAAACATACGCGCTCTCGCTAAACTGTACTACGACGCGGGTTATCAAGTGGATCGCTCAAGCCAGCCGTGTCCCATCTAGTTAGGTGCGCGTTCACATGAAAGGTATGGTATTTGGAGCATTCGACCAATCACAAACATGGACAAGCGTACTGACAGTGCATGTCATACTTCCTGAATGAAAAGTCAACTATAATATTACATATGAAGAAGTTAAACTTTAAACATCCATGACTTAAACACTTTATCCAGGATAAAAGCCACATAGGGTTTTACCTGCAAGGTGAATACAGCTGGCAAAAGAAAAAGTGTTTGAATGCGTACATTAACAGGTTTATGATATCACTGCCCCGTCCAAGACACGAGTGGATCTGACTTTAATTCCATTTGACTCGAGTGTTTCGTCAACTTAATGTGTTGCTTAAAATAATACTTCTGCATAGTATGTGACACTGCAGTGTTGCACAGCCAGATACGGCTCAGCTGACTCAGATAAGGAAATATATGATTATGATGTGATATGCCGCGGACTGTAGAGTGAATTGCCCTAATGTGAGACATTTATTGCATTTCAGACTTCTGGAATATATTGCGATATGAAGCCAATACAATCAATCCACATCCAGTACCATTCTGAAATCCCCAGGATGTGTCCTAATCAAACTAAAAGAGAAAATGCAGATATTACACTCGTAAAAGTAATGGTAGACATATCAGTATACTCTTAGTGCCAAGTTGTCTCAGACAATCTGCTTTTCCTAATGTGGGACAGTTCTGTGCAAAATGTGGGACACTGAAATGTTGAAAAGCCTCAGTCACCTTAATTAATACATTTATGTATTTATTATTGTAATAAAACATCTCAGGTCAGTAACACTCAAAGCTAAATGTGCAATACCATGTTCAGCTATTTTACTATTTATAATGTTATTGTTGTGTTACAACATTTAGGCTTATAGGTGTGGATGTTAACTTTTTTTATTTTTTTGTGAGAATCAAACATCATCAAACAACAATAGATTCTAATAGTTTGCAAAAATCATTGAATTGTATTTCACAGGGAACACATACAACTGCAGGTGAATTTGAAGGCAACATATCAAACATTGAGGCAACACATACACCTAAACCTGCGTAAAACAATTGCTTACAACATGCTGCTGTTAATTACAAAGTTAAAATGTTATTGAAATCTAAAATGATTAGGACATGGAGTGGATTTAGGAGCGGTCCAGGCCCCCAACAGCCTCAGCTGAGGAACCCCACCATCCTCAGTGATCTGTCGATATTCTTCTATGGCTGCCCTCATTCCTGTCCTTCCTACCACTGATTCAGTTTCCTTCCCTGACCTTCAATTTCCTCAATTATTCTTTGCCTGCTTTGCCTTTTTCTGTGTCTGCGACTCTCTCCCGATCTTATTTCTCTCCTTTGCCATTTGTGATCTAAAATGCATTCAATTCATCATTAATATGCATAGAACAAAACGTGTGTTGGAAGGATTTATTCAATTACTATGAATAGTTGGGCTTTAAATTCATTGCCATCTTCTAAAACTCAGACATTTATCCCTAACATTCTCCCTGACTTTGTCATACCATTTTAACAGACCCCCAATTATTTAATATAATTTGCCCATCACCTTAAATATCTAAAATAATGCATTAGAAGACTAAAACCCTGTAAATAACCATTGCTCTTGCACAATCCATGCCCCACACATTGTTGCCTAACTGAAGAACTGTTCCCACAGCATTAGGAAAATCATACTGTCCCACTTTGCGAAACATGTTTCCTTAAAGTGGGACGATGGAACATTTGATTGAAATAAAAAATATAGAGTATATTTACACCATATTATAATATTGTTCTGATGAACAAACATATCATAAACACATCCTGATAAAAACTTCCAAGATTGTTTTATTTAAACGAAATTTAAAACCTTAACATTACATTTGTCAAAACACTACGTCCACTGATCTTTTGGGTGGTCTTCACCATAGACTGTAGGTCTTCACACAGGGCAGACACAGGGTACTTCCTGTTTGAATGTTTTCCCACCCTCATCTGTGATTGGACATTTGAGAAGTCATGAGATTTTGATGCATGACATCACAGCTTGTGTTTACCATATCTCATTTACCTTTCCCTATTCATTAATTTTTTCATATTTTTGCATGTATTATTTACACATTCACTGTTTATACTTATTCCCGCCATTTGGACCTTTTTTATATTTATGTACTTGTGCACATAAATAATGTTTCTAATTATTTACAATAAAAAAATATATTACTTTTAGCCAACACTTTTATAAGGCCACTACATTAGATAATTACGAAATGTGAAGATAGAATACATATCTTTCAGGTTGTTATTTTGTCATTATGTTTAATGTTTTATTTACCTTTTTAGTATTTGTATATAGTATCTGAACTTTGGAGAGGAGTTGGGAGACACACGACACATCGAATCACATCTACAGATGAAGACGAAGCGAATGGAAGTACTCCCATACTCCTAGCGTGTGGAAATGTTTGTGAAAAACGTGTTGCAATGTCTCCGAAAATCCTAAAAATAAGCTCATATTTGAATTCCCCATAAAAAAACACATCATTCAGTAAAAACAAAAGGCCCCCACTGATCATCTACTCTCTGAGACGATTCCAGGGATTGTCTGGCTTGAGTTTCTACCACCAGGGAAAGTGGACAAAAGTGCCCGAGATCAGCCCTCTTAATTTACACAGGGCCTAGTGCTTAGTTTTTGGGCATGACAATTCAGGAAACTCCCCATTATATTTTTATTAAATATCTGAACTTTGGAGAGGAGTTGGGGACACACAACACATCAAATCACATCTACAGATCAAGACAAAGTGAATGGAAGTACTCCCATACTCATAGCGTGTGACAAATATTTTGTGAAAACGTGTTGCAAAGTCTCCGAAAACGGAGCAGTGGCTAGGCTTGTTTGAGACGAGATGCGGCTCGCGGCGGCCGATCGCAGCCGGGGGAGTCTCAAAAAGCTCGCCTGAGTCGGACAGCTCGGAGTCGGCTTGCGTCTTCTTCATTATTCTCTCGGTTTTTTTTGGCGGATTGCAAACAACTTTAAGGTGCATACCGCCACCTCCGGACCTCGGCTTGACTCGGTTTGCATTTATAAAGAATGCACACATGGGTTTTAATCGTTCATGTCAGATATGTACTAAGTAAATACATTTGTTCCTGCTCAAGATTAGATTCAACTTTATTGTTATTGCACATATTACAGGTACTGAGACAACAAATGCAGTTTAGCTTCTAACCAGGTGCAACAAGCAGTAAAGTGAAAAGTAATGTACACAATAGACATAAATATAGAATGAATTGAATGATGAAATAAACAGTGAGGGGTATGAATACACTAGACTATCAGCCTGTGTGAGCAGTATGACAGTGTGTATGAATATGCTAAGATATATAAAGTATGAAAACGGTAAGAAGTGCAAGTATAGTATAAAATATATAGATATTAATTTCATGATGATAAACATTGTGGAACAATGATGAAAAATGGGAATGGAATGGTGGCGACGTAAAACTGACACAAAAACAAACAACAAACTTTTGCCGAGCCAATTGGACAGTTTCATCAGCAGCACGGGGTAAAAACCACCAATGAGCGCTCAGCTCGAGATACCAGCGAGTCGTTTCCATGGATGTATAATAAGAACTGGATACAGCGTGGGAGCATGGATGTATAATAAGAACGGGATACAGCGTGGGTGGCGGGGCCTCATTCATTCCTATGAGAGGTGCTCATAAGCGCATGATGATAAAATGGCCCAACTTTTGAGAGAGCGAAACGTCACAGATTACCCGGCATGCCTGAGAAGTACCCGTATGTGCGCTCATAGTGCAATGCGCAACTTTAACCAAATGCTCATTCACATTGTTCACGATCAAGCCGTCAATTTGCGTACACGTAACAGCACCGCACTTCATGACAGCTTGGTAATGATTTGTTATTATGATGGATTTGATATTAACGAGGGCGGGCAGTTAGCCAGCTAGCGGCTGAGCTAGTCATTATGCTAATGTGAACAATCACATGCGTTATGTCCTTCACAGTGGAGCAAAAAAGTATTTAGTCAGCCACCAATTGTGCAAGTTCTCCCCACTTAAAAAGATGAGAGAGGCCTGTAATTTCATCCAGGTATACCTCAACTGAGAGACGAATGATAAAAAAAAATCCAGAAACAATCACATCACTGATTTTTAAAGAATTATTTGCAAATGATGGTGGAAAATAAGTATTTGGTCAATAACAAAAGTTAATCTCAATACTTTGTTATATACCCTTGTGTTAGCAATGACAGAGGTCAAACGTCATGCTGAAAGACCCCAGCCACGTTTCATCTTCAATGCCCTTGCTGATGGAAGGAGGTTGTCACTCAAAATCTCACGATACATGGCCCCATTCATTCTTTCCTTTACACGGATCAGTCGTCCCTGGTACCTTTGCAGAAAAAACAGCCCCCAAAGCATGATGTTTCCACCCCCATGTTTCACAGGTAGGTATGGTGTTCTTGGATGCAAACTCAGCATTCTTTCTCCTCCAAACACGGTCTAGTTGAGTTTTTACCAAGATGTTTTTTATTTTGCGTTTTCATCTGACCATATGATATTCTCCCAATCCTCTTCTGGATCATCTAAA